CAGAGTCCAAATGGTGCTAACTCTCAGCTGAGTCAGAGCGATGTTTCAATGGCATTGGCTTGTTTCTCTGAAGGTGACACCATTATCATTGCCCAAGAACCTTGCCTCTTTTGCCAGCTCATTCGAGTGTAACTAGTCTGGTGATTTTAATTATCCAACCATGATGCGTTTTTTCCGTAAACCTTCTCTTTATCCTCGCGACCCAACGACAAACAGAGGATTGTAATGCATAATTTTAGGAAAATCTCATCATCAACTGCCCATGCATGTATAGCCAGCTGAATGTGAACCAGCTAACCTGTTTCGTCTTGTAGTGGATGGCCGGGCGGGGATTGAGCTGAGTTAAGCATAGCTTCTATGGAATTCAGGGGCTTGGGACTTGCGTACCTCAAGGAAGAATCTGGGTAAATGAAAGCAATACAATATAACTAATAAAAAGTCATAGCATAATGGTGTAATAGACGAAAAGTGGATCAAAATGCACTCAAAAAGGTAAGCAAACGAGTCTATAATTATTGGGAAACAGCTTATGAGAAACCGACAGCTTACCATTGAGATGAGGTGGCTGAGAAACTCCGTTTGCCGGCTCGGCAGAGAGAATACCGCCATCGAAAAGGGACTGACGCAGCTCGGCTGAAAGGCGTCGTCTGTAGTCGGCCGGCTTGTTGTGGCCAATTCGGTGGAGGACAGAAGCAGAATAGGCAGCTAAGCGAAGAAAAAGAAAGATGGCCATTTCGCATTGTACTCGTAGTCATGTAAAAAAGATCTGCATTTATACAATTAAAGGATGATATAAATTACTGTCAGACGGTCATTATCTGGTATGGCTTAAGAAAGAAAGGGATGAAGAGTGGTCGCTAGGCATGGAGAGAAGATGAGTTTTGAAGAACTCTTTTTTATGGATTGTTCAACATGTACCTTCAACTTCGTATGTGGAGGCGAGTTGAGAGGATTCGTAAATGTGCCTCAACGAAAGCTGAAAAAGGAGAGAATTGGTGTTTTTGGCTCGACTTGCTCGAATGAGCCGT